TTGCTATGATGTTCATCACAGCGCCAAATACTTAAATATTTAGACTTAATAGGCTATTTATTTTCAAACTTTTTTTACATTTTAATCTGGACTACAACATGCCCTAGATATTGTTTGAAAGTGTTTTGATTCTTTATTGTTCGGTCACACTTTACATTAGGGCTTCATTAGTTAACATTAGTTAATTCATTAGTTAACATAAACTGCCAATGAAAAATTTTTCTGAACATTCATGAATATATTAATATATCATTAATAAATAAAGTTGCAACTGTGTTATTTAATGAGCTAACATGAACTAAGACTTTTACTTTCTATTTTAAACAAAGATTAATAACTTCTGTAGCAAATGTAGCTATTGCTCATTGTGAATGTTAATGCATTAACTAAGGTTAACTAATGAGGTCTTATTGTAAAGTGATACCTATTGGTCTTTATAGTTCTTTTGCACTTTAATCTGTGTAAAACTTTTAACTTTATACAATTTAATTTTTTCTGTATTGCTTTATTGCATTTAAATGTTCAGTTATTTTTGTTATAAGAAAAAAGTTATTAAACCTGTTATACTGTATTATCACAGCACTTTTTTAAACTAAATTTCAATATCGTGATAATACCGTATACTGTGATAAAAGCATTAGCAATTAATCGCAACATGAAAATTTGATACCGGCATATCCCTAGTGAGGGGTGTACTTACTTCTGTGAGATACTGTATTTATTTATATATCCATGTTATTCTTTGGGAATTGACTGGATGGTGAAAAGTGGGCTTTTCATACTGGAATGAATGCAAGAATTGCTAAAACAATAACAAAATGACAATTTTAATTTGTTTAATATTTTTCATACAGTGGAAAAAGAAAGTAATTTCAGAGGTGAAGCAATTTTTTTAAATGTTTGATGAAAGATTATGAAAATTTAGAATATGCATTAATACATTTTTCACAGTTAAGACCAAGAATGTGTATTAAACAAGGAAATAGGATACATTTTCATTTTATTTTACTGTAATATGTTTGTTGAACTTGCAATAACATTGAAAATCACCAATAACATCTGACAACAGTTGTCACAGTTTTTACTTCCTGAGGTGAAATCTGACCAAAAAAATGCGTTTGCAGTCAGTTTTTGTTTCTAACAAAGAAAAGGCAGCAGATATGGCAGAAATTTTGCACAGGAGCGTTTTGATTAAAACACTTGTACGATATTAATTGTATTAAACTGGATTCTTGTTTTTTTTTGTTAAGGGTACTTCAAGGATGACCGCATAGTGTTCTGGACATGGATGTTCTCCACATACTTCATGGAGAAATGGGCACCACGTCAGGATGATATGCTTTTCTATGTGCGCCGCAAGCTCTCTTACGTCAGTGAAGACAACACAGAAGGGAAGAAGGTGAGATGAACCTATTAATTCTCATTGAATGAGGTGTAGAGGTGAAAACTGAGAAAATGGATCCAAGAATTTCTCACCTAATAGTTAGAGAGCTTCTTGCATGCCCTAGCTGTTTTTGAGCACCTCAAGTTATAAACGGTAGCATATTTCATTAGGTCTCTAATACACGTTTTTGAACAAATCGACAGTCACTTGCCTCGTTTCTAAATGAACCAGCCATTTGAACGAATCGGTTGAATGAATGAATAAATGACTCCCTTGTTAAAACAATTTGCCACCAGCTACTGGTGGTTTGGTTTCATATTTAAAAGTATCATTGCATTTTCCACATAATTTCTTATTTGTATATTCAAAAATGATTTAAAACAAATCTTATAACATAATTTATGCATTTGCAATTTTGCGGTGTAAATGCATTCATTTATGGCACCTCAGCTTCATCAAACAGTGTGTAAATACATCTAATGCCACTTCAGATGCAACTTCTGTGTTTCCTGCAGTTGAGAGATGGAGTTTGTTGATACTGATTTCATTTGAATGGTAACAGTTTCTTATTATTCTAACTGAATTAATTGATTTGATGTGAGAGATGACACATACATTTAATAAGGTTAGGGAAAAAAATGCCCATTTATAAACATAGTGGGAAATCAAATCACATGTTTTTTTTTTATATACAGCAACTCATTTCTAACTCTTAGAATTTATTTTGAGAGTTGATTACGTGAGAGAACATCTGTAACTTAGTCCAGATTAGGGGAACTAATTTATTTTATGTAAATAATTTTTTTTGCATTGGAAATTTTTACTCTGCTGTAAAAGTACTTTTCAAGTGTCTGTACTTTATCGGACTGTTTTTCTTTAGAAAACTTTACTTTACAACATTCCAAAGCATAATATTGTACTTTTTACTGCACTACGTTTCATATGAAATATAATTTAATACTTAATTACATTAGAAATGTAGACATTTTACTCAAGTAAAAGTAATTCAAAGATTTACTTGAGTACAAGAAAGTACTACATTTCTAATGTTCTTAAGTATTAAAGGTAAAACAAACAACGACTTTTATTTATGAAATGTAGTGCAGTAAAAAGTATGACATTATGTTGGAATGTAGTGAAGTAAAGAAAAACACTCATAAACTACAGATACTTTTTAAACTTACTTGAGGAAAGTAAAAATACTTCACTACTGTCTGCCTCTGTTGGCCGGTCGCACTTAAACAAAGATCGGAAATCGGAATCAGCCAAGAAAATTGCAATCGGTGCATCTCCAATAGTTGGCATTTAAAAGTACCTGCTAAAGCTAAACAGACTTTCCAAGATGGTTAATCTTTTTTCCCCCTCACTTTATTTTGATTTTCTCCACCTCAGCAGGTTACACCATACAATTACAGATATAGAATGATTGAAGAATGAGAGAATGATTGATGACATGTATATGTACTTATTCTACACAAATAAAAAGCAACTCTGAAAAAAAAAACAACCACCAAAAAAGGGTATTGAATAATAATATAACAACATAATGATTTTAAAATAAACAGTTAAATAAATAAATATAAGATGGTTAATCTTTGCCTACTTAAATAATGTCATGTTATGAAAATTTGAGCTCACCAAAAAAGGTTAGAAATAAGTGTTTGAGAACAATTCCATTTCATCTGGCTGTTTTAACATGTCCCATATGGCTGGCTAACTAAACCGAGTGCAGAGGAGAATCAGATGTTCCACCAAAAATTCCTATCCTATCAAAGCAAAAGTGTGATGCATCTGAACCGGGATTGTGTTGGTTTCAGGTGGAGGTTGAGGTTTACAGAAGAGACTCTAAAAAGCTGCCTGGACTCGGTGATCCTGACATCGACTGGGAGGAGAGCGTCTATCTCAATCTCATCCTGCAGAATGTAAGCAAACCTCAGTGATCAGACGCTATGAGGCGCAATGCAAACGCAATTAATTGCTCTAAAATATAAACAATAAACCAAAGACTATTTCTCTGCGACATAGAAGCTTTCATAATGTCTTTTGGTGTAGTTTTGCTTATAGTCTTTTTGTCCCACAGCTGGACTATGTGGTCACATGTGCAGTTTGCACACGCTCAGATGCAGGAGACATCCACATCCACAAAAAGAAATCCCAGGTGAGACAACATTTATGCAGTTTGTGTGTTGGGATATAACTACGCAGTTCAGACGCAAGGTAACACAGTACAGTTTAGTTAGCCGTCTTAGTTAGCCTAAACTCAGGGTTATGATACTAGAAGGTGATTATTATAAAAGGAATTGTATATACTTGTCAATAATGAGGTGTTTACTGCACAAAATCATAGTAACAGGGTTCAGAGTCTTGCAGTTATCCATTATTAGCCTTAGCTGAAGATTGACACCAGAAGGTGTTTATTACTAGATCATTTCAGGTGCTTTTTAGTAATCAGTTGTTTAAAAAAAACTAAAAGAGTTGACAGTCTTAGTCATGCTTTATTTAAGGGGTCATCAGATGCCCAATTTTCACAAGTTGATATGATTCTTTAGGGTCTTAATGAAAAGTCTATAACATACTTTGGTTAAAATTTCTCAGCGGTAGTGTAAAACAACACCCTTTTTACCCTGTCAAAAACAGCTCTTTTCGCAGCAAGCCGTTTCAGTGAATTTCCCTTTAAATGCTAATGTGGTCTGCTATCCCTGCCCCTCTCCCTCTTTGGGGTGACACACAGTTCTCTAAAAGACTGTAAACTTTAGCTGCATTCATCGTGAAACTTGCTAACTAGCACATTATTAGGAAAGGCGATTTGCAAAATTCATTAAAAAACTTGAACTCACTTTTTCTGGAGGTGAAGCTGAATCACGAATGATTCGCGCGAACATAGGTAGATTTAGGTAGATCGGGGGTGCATTCCCTTCAAAACAAACGTACTCCACTGCATCTTCAGTGGCTCAGATGTCGGGAGTAACTGATGACTGCTATGTTCATTATTACATCCAACAACAAAACACCTCAATCACCCAGGAGAAATTCTTGTCTACTCCTTTAAAAAAAAAAAAACACTGGGTGTGTTTTTATCATTATAGGGTGGTTGTGTACACACACTGCCAACACACATTTCAGTTCAAACTACATGTAAAAGTGAATTTTACATCCGATGACCCCTTTAATCTAATGCCTTGTTTAAACAAAATCATAGTAACAGTCTGGCTGTTACTAGGCTAAAGGTTGTGAGGTTATGAAACTGCACACTGTAGTTTAATACTTAAAGTTTAAAGCATGAAGCATCAGTTGTTTACTACACTGAATACTCGGAACAGGGTTGATAGTTAAACCATTCAGTCAGCTGTTATTAGAAAAACCATAGGATTATGAAACAACAATCACAACACAAACTCATGGTAAAAATGTTGACATTTTCCCTACTGACACAACCAGATAGCACACAAACATCTCCAAAACGTCTGATAAACATCTTTGAAAAAGCATACATTCTTTCCACATCATAAACATCTAAACTGAAACCCGAACTAAACAAACTGATAGAAGAGACATGAGCTAGTCCTTGAAGAGTTTGCTTCCTTGTAAGGGTGATAACACAGACATACCATAGCTAAATGATTTAATGTTATTTCTATGAATGTGCAGCTGAAACAGTGGCTCTCTTCATTTACAGCAAGTGTTTGCCTCTCCAAGCAAACACCCAATGGACAGCAAAGGGGAGGAGTCAAAAATTAGCTACCCCAACATCTTCTTCATGATTGACAACTTTGAGGAGGTAACCTTTATTTAAGCTCTCAAATCACATTATGGTGCTAGATCGAAACTGCTGGTCATTTCAAGAGCTGTGTACTGCAACAGCAGGCTAATCAAAGAAGAGACAAGTGTGCCATCAAACATAAGGAAATAAACTATATGTTCTGAGGTCATGTCAAAGTCATATCTTTCTGAGGTATGTATGAACAGGTTGGACAAGTTTACCTAGTTTTTAAATCATAAATGTTCAAGCAGTGAATTGTATGTTGGTTTCAGAAGATGATGTCCAAAAGTTCCAAAGTGTCCAAAGTTCCACACTTTTTTATTTTCTCCAGTTAAGTGCATCATCCATGTATTTAAGGTGCTTTTTTACTATTTATACTACAAAATGGCAGAGAATAGTGCATAAGTACGTGAATTGGGATGCACATATAGTCTTGAAATTCACTGAAGTAAAATGTGTGACAACACGTCAACATTATTATACATTATTTTTAATTGTCTTCTCACCAGTGTTATTTTAGTGTCATTGATACTGTATGCTATTCTAGTTTTAATATTTTAAATTATTTTCTTTTTAGATTTTCTTTTTTAATTACGTTTTAGTTAGTTTAGTACTTCAGTATAAGCTAAATGAAAAGCAGAAATGTTGCCTTGCAACTAGTTGAAATAAAAGTTCTTAAGGGCTTTTTTGTATACATATTTTAGTTCCATTAATGTTTATTTTATTTTAAGAAATGAACATGTTTTTTTTTTTTAAAGGTATTTGTTTTAGTTAACCATAATAACCCTGCTTCTCACTGCCAGTCATGATAGTTCTAGCTTATGGTTTGCTTGCCCCTCCATGCTGATAAGATTAAAATCATGGTGTGTCATGCTGTGTAATGTTATGATAATGCTCATAAACATTTCATTGCATGCAGTTTTAAGACCAAGTGTGCGTTTCTCCTGTTACACAAGGCTAGGCATACCTGTCAACCCTCCCGTTTTTCCCAGGATTCTCCCGTATTTTACCATTCTATCCTGCTATCATCCAATTTAAATATTTTCCCATATTTCTCCCGTATTTTTAATGTTTCTATAAAAAAATCCCACTGGGCATATTTTATAGGTTTGCTACATTCGCCTCCGGTAAAACTCCCGTAATTTGTATGGCCCAAACGTCATTATATGAATAATCACGTCAACAAATTCCAAGGTTGTCCAGTTGCCAGATCTTGTATGAAACGCATCTTGCTCAGTAGCCAGATCTTGTATGAAATGCATCCTTCTCACACAATCGACATACAAATTTCAACCCATTTGTCCCCTCAACTTGGCAACCTACAACAGTGATGACTACCGCGGGAAGGAAAGGATCTCTAGTAGAAATGGGACGGGAGGAGAAGACTCAGGTGGTGTTCCGGTGGAAAAAACAAATATGCATGCAAATTGAGATATAGCTTACACTTCAAAAGGCTATGGATTAATTGATTAAATATGAGCGCTGCAAGTTGCAAAATCAGGTGCTGCGCTGCTTTGTTTACTGCGGTTACCGGGGAAATGGCTATATTCCCGGCAAAAAGCGAAAGAATGAAGAGAGAATAAATTTTAATTTTTCAATAAGCCCTTCTGCTTTTTGTTTTAGTCCAAAGCGAAAAATGACCCTTATTTTTACGCAGAAAACACACAGTTTGATATACATAATTTAAATTTTGCCCCTCCCCAACCCCAAGCACCACCCCCCTAGGAGGCTAGGTGGCTGCTGAACTACACCAAAGATGGTTCACTCCTATACTTATGAATGGGAGAAACTGCAATGTGCAATATGGCGGAAAAGTCACGCCTTCTAAATGAAAGAGCCAATCCCTGATTTGTAAAGTCATTGCGTCACTACAGTGGCCGTTGTAATCTCCGGTTCCCATAAAAACCTAAGACTGGGCCAGCCGATGCGCATGCGCAGTCATAAGCGCTTTGGAACTGCGCATGCACATTGGTTGGTCTAGCCCAGGTGCAAATTGAGATATAGCTTACACTTCAAATGGCTATAGATTAATTGATTAAATATGAGTGCTGCAAGCTGCAAAATCAGGTGCTGCGCTGCTTTGTTTACTGCGGTTACCGGGGAAATGGCTATATTCCCGGCAAAAAGCGAAAGAATGAAGAGAGAATAAATTTTAATTTTTCAATAAGCCCTTCTGCTTTTTGTTTTAGTCCAAAGCGAAAAATGACCCTTATTTTTACGCAGAAAACACACAGTTTGATATACACTCAGTTTAAATAATTGTTTAATAATAATTGTTTAAATTAATATAATAAATTAATATAATAATAATATAATATAATAATTTAAATTT